TTTTTTTGGGCATTTTACTCTGTGAGACGAATTTTCTCTTGTTCGTCTATCAAGTTGATCTATGACCATTTGCAGTGCGTTAGTCGGCTGATAGTGGGGAATTATGAAAGGCTTCAAGGTTTTTGAAATTCTTTTTGTGGCTCCTTTATCGTTTATGTTCTGAGTTATTGTTTATGTTCTGAGATTTTGTAGTGGGTGATGCAGATCGAATGGATAAATTGGCCTTAAGCTTCGACTTCTCCGGACAAGGCGTATTTTGTTCTGTACTTGTGGAATGGGAAGGTAATGAAAAATGGTTCTGTTTAATTTGTCTTACTTACATTATCAGTTATTTTCAGTGGGTAATTAGCTAAGAACACTCAATTGTGTAAAATACTAAAATCTATACAAACACATTGCTATATAGTGGGTTAGCTAAGAGCACCCACAATGCATTGGTCTCTTAAAAAATATCATATGTCACATAGGAAATAGACTTAGTCTATTAAAAAATGTCTCCCAATGCAATTAGAAGTGGACATGGTCTAGCTTACGTGGCAATAAAAAAAAGAGACCAAGTCCACATTTGGGTCTATTTTGGACCCAAGTACAAATCCAAAAACTCATCATTTATTTCTAATTTAAATTTTCTTTTAATAAAGGAAACATATTAGAGCATTTTTATTGGTTAGCATGTATGCTAGACCTAATATTTTATTTTTTTTTTGCATTGAATAGTTTTTGAATTTTTTTACTTGGGTTTGTCCATGTCATTTAGGACTTAAGTCTATTTAAAATTAGACTCAATGCATTGTGGTGCTCTAAAAGCATCTCCAATATATTATTGTCAAGTGAAAAAATTAAATGCTATGTCATTATTAGATATAATGTCTTCATATTTATCTCTCCAATGGGTCTGTCGTAGTCTAATTTTGTGTGACTTGGCTTGACAGTAATTCAGCCCACTGTTTGAAACAACACAGTGTCTTTGACAGTATGACAAAAAAAAAAAAGTNAAAAAAGTCAAAAAATCTGTAGAATCGTGGGAAAAAGATTCGGGAAAGTGGAATAACTCTATAAAAGTAAATAAAATCTAGTAAAAAAGAAAAATAAGCAAATCTAATTGAAGGATACATGTACACATCTGAGTCTCCAAATATGTTTGAAATCAAGATTTGAGTCTCCAAATATGTTTGAAATCAAGATTTGAGTCTCCAAATATGTTTAAAAGAGGATAATATGATGGTTATCATTTAATATTCGCAACATGTTGTCTTTATGTAAATAACAAACTAAGGAGATGTTTATGAGATATGCTTGTTAAGTTGTTATTCAAATATGGATGCTACTAAAAACTCGTCCAATTTATTAAAATCGGTTTTACATGAAACTAAAAGACTTCGTTCAATCTATTAAAATTTTAAAAATCAATGAAGAATAAAAGAAAGTGGTGCATTGTGCGTAGTATTTGACTATTGTTGTTTTGACGGTCAACATTGATATTAAGGGGATGCAGTCATCTAATTATGTATAAGCACGTGACATGAACATTTAACATTCACATTCATTCACATTCATACTCTGGAGATGCTCTAAGCTGCGTTTGTTGAGCCTGTTAGTTGACTAATAATCAATTGAATATAAAACAAATATAAAATTGTAGTGATTGACAAATCTTTATGCTTCATTACCGTGTTCCTGAGTTATTTATATTATTTGATCATAAATAATATAATAAAGCTCAAATGTAACCATTTCTTTTCATTTCACATTTTTGGGGTTGTGTTTTGGTCTTGCTCATCGTGTCATTTGTCACTGGTAATCATATTTTTTAATTGTGTTTTGTTGTATTCGTGTTTCATTCATGCTAGCCAATCTATATATATATATAATACGAATAACTATTTACTAAAAATAATAGTAAAAATTTTTGGGAGCATTTAATACATATCTTTTTTTAGAAACTTTTTAAATATATGCATTAATTGTTTCCATATACACGTTTTTAAATAAAAACAAATCAGATATGATCAAGGAGCATTATATATAGTTTAGGCTCGAATTAAGGAGCATTGTAGATAGTTTAAGCTTGTACTAAGGAGCATTTTAGATAGTCTAAGCTAGTATCAAAGAGCAGCGTAGATAGTTTAGGCTCATATCAAAAAACACATTAGATAGTTTAAGCACGTATCAAGTAGCATCATAGATAGTTTAAGCTCATATCAAGGAGCATAGATGATTTGATGGAACTCTTAATGTAAATTGTCTCCATGAAATTTGAGAATGATATGAAACCGCTTTTGTTTCTCCTCCATTCGAATGAAGGTTTCATGGCTTGAGAGATGTCATCCTTAGTTGGTCGTCCCTTGTACATTTTCTTCAAAGAAGTCTCCATGCATCTTCAAAGATCTTTAAACTTGATTTGAAGAGAACAAATGAGAGATAGATATCGTCTCACTGGTCGTGCTAAATTTGTAACAACAAATTTTATGAAAAATTGTTCAAAAGGGTGTGGATAGGTGGTGTAATGGAGGCAGAATCATCGGAAGGTTCGATTTTGGGGACAATAAGGGAGGAGGTGGAGGGGAGGTTGTTCAACAGCACCATGTAATTGGAACCCATTTCTCAGATCTTCTTGCGGTGACGGTCGGAGAGAGTGAAGGGTTTTGTTTGTCTTGATTTTTCTTTTCTTTTCTCTAGGGCGTTATGCTTTGAGTTGTTGAAGAAGGTTCGAAGGATGAAAAAATGACGGAATTGCGAAATTTGGTGAAGAGAGAGGAAGAGAGATAAGAGAGTGAAAGACTGAAGAGTGTGGTTGGTTGATTGACAGAGTATCAGTACTTTAGAGCATGCAGTTGATTGATTGACATAGAGTATCAGTGCTTAGAGCATGCATTTCTCGTGTGGACTAAGGGGACGCTACTGTGGTGACTAACAGCAGGTAGTCACAACAACAGCGTCCCCTTAGTCCAAATGAGAAATATGCATGCTCTAAAGCACTATTGATACTGTCAATCAACCAGCTGTATGCTCTAAAGTACTGATACTCTCTGTTAATCAACCATCCACACTCTTCAGTCTTCCACTCCCTTTTCTCTCTTATTCTCTCTTCACCAAATTTCATTCTGCCATTTTTTCATCCTTCGAACTTTTTTCGACAACTCAAAGAATAACGCCCTAGAGAAAAGGAAAGAAAACCAAGACAACAAAACCTTTCACTCTTCGATCTTCACCGAAAGAAGATATGGGAAATGGGTTCCAATTACACGGCGCCGTTGAACAACCTCCCCTCCATCTCCCCCTTCTTGTCCCCAAAATCGAACCTCTGAGTCACCAAATATGTTTGAAATCAAGATTTGAGTCTCCAAATATGTTTAAAAGAGGATAATATGATGGTTATCATTTAACATTCACAACATGTTGTATTTATGTGAAATAACAAACTAAGGAGATGTTTATGAGATATGCTTGTTAAGTTGTTATTTAGATATGGATGCGGTGTTATTCAGATATGGATGCTACTAAAAACTCGTCCAATTTATTAAAATCAGTTTTACATGAAACTAAAAGACTTCGTTCAATCTATTAAAATTTTAAAAATCAATGAAGAATAAAGAAAAGTGGTGCATTGTGCGTAGTATTTGAATGTTGTTATTTCGACGGTCAACATTGATATTAAGGGGATGCAGTCATCTAATTATGTACAAGCACGTGGCAGGAACATTTAACATTCACATTCATAAACTGGAGATGCTCTAAGTTGCGTTTGTTGAGCCTGTTAATTGACTAGTAATCAATTGAATATAAAACAAATATAAAATTGTCGGGATGACAGATCTTTATGCTTCATTACCGTGTTCCCGAGTTATTTATATTATTTGATCATAAATAATATAATAAAGCTCAAATTTAACCATTTCTTTTCATTTCACAATTTTGGGGTTGTGTTTTTGGTCTTGCTCATCGTGCCATTTGTCGCTGATAATCATATTTTTTAATTGTGTTTTGTTGTATTCGTGTTTCATTCATGCTAGCCAATATATATAAGGACAGCCATTTACTAAAAGTAGTTGTAAAATTTTTTTGGAGCATTTAATACATATCTTTTTTTAGAAACTTTTTTAATATATGCATTAATTGTTTCCATATACACGTTTTTAAATAAAAATAAATTAGATATGATAAAAAATATTGTTTCCTTAATTAGAGGCTTTCCTTTCGATACCAGAAATGCTTGGTGACGTATCATTCTCGATGTAGATCCTACATAGTTGGTTCTCATCCTTCAGAGACTACGAGTGTAATAGGAGCATCCGTTGACAAAAGGATCACCCTAAGATGATCATTTCATGGCTATTGAGAACGAATTCAATTAGATGGTCCTATTTTTCAATCTTTCTGACTTGCTCCTATGGAACTAATTTTATTAATATCTGCAATAATTTCATCGATATCCATTATAATAAATTACAAGATTGATTTTCCGTGGTTCATGTTGATAATATTTTGGTCAAGATAAATACTACAACATATTTTAAGTTCTAACTATAATATTAATTTTTTTCACAAGTATTCACTTTTTATCCAAAAATATTTATAGAAAATTGTTAGGTAGAATTTTTTCTTCCAATTAATCAGACAAAATCAAGTTGGTGAATTAATATTTGTCAATATAATATTTTCTTAAGCTTCGTTATATATAAGAAAATAAATTACTCTTCAAATAAATATAATTTACCATTTAAGAGATAACTAGTACGAATTTCATGTGATGCACGGGTAAAAATATTCATTAATATTTATAAATTAAAAATTCTCATTAAATAATATTTGTAAATTAAAAACATAGAATCAATATGTAATACAATGTACCTATATTAATTTATTGCTCTTGTTATACAAAATTTAAATTGTGCAAAATTACATAAAAATGTCTATTTAAAATTAGTAAACAACCCGTGCGTTGCACATAATTGATAATAAAATACATTATATTCGTTTCAAAATATGTGTCATTTTAAAATTTTTATTTAGAAATTCGATTTGACTATAACGTGCTTCCATAAAATAATTATTTTGTTAAAATTTTATCATATACTTAAAAATCTATGTGAATAATAAGTATAAATATAAAACTTATATTGTTTTATTAAATAAAATGAATTTATTTTTTGTATAAAATATCCAAATCAAAAAATTTAAGTAGTTGAGTAAAAGCAATCAGTCATAAAAATTTTTATGCCAAAAAATTCGATACTCTTTATCATGCTAAAAAAATGAACACTGCAATTCACACAAAACTTATTTGAAATGTCGTAACAAAAAATGAATTAAATCGAGGCCCAGTAATTATAAAAAAAAATTTGATCAGTTTTTTTATATAAAAAAACATCGATACACGCACATTATATCAAAATATCCGTTTATATTATTTTGCTAAAGTTACGGTAATTTTATTTTGTTAATTTCATGCGAAAAATTGAAATCCATGCTTAAAAACTAATATATTGGCCTGCGCCGTGTATTGATTAATTATCCAACAAATTTCCTAGTAAAAAACAATCATCAAATAATATAAATAAATTTTTTCAGAGTTACCGTAATTTTATTTTGTTAATTTGATATGAAAAATTGAAATCCAAGCCTAAAAACTAATATATTGGCCTGCGCATTATAGAAAAAAGTACACTTTGTATTGATTAATTTTTCAACAAATTTCCTACTAAAAACAATCATTAAATAACCTAAATTTATTTATTTACCATAGAAACAACCATCAATACCAAAAATAAATTCGTCCACTTTATACCATATATTAATTAATTCACATAATTTGAGTAATTAAGGTATCTTAAAATCTGACTTAGTTTCTTTCTTAAATAATGAGCCGCAATTTCCATAAGTAATAATCTAATATAAACCATAAATTGTTAAATTGATTTCTAGAATTAGTAAATAATTTTTTTTTTTTTTTGAGGGAAATAGTTACTATTTAAAAAATAATCAAACCTTTTGATATAGATATTGATGACCAGATACATTAAATAGTTTTACTAATGGTAAAAATTAAAATTAAAATATATTAACTGTTCTTTAGAATTTATTTGTATATTATTGGTAACCATTATTGTTTTTTTATTTTAATTTCTTTCTATAATGAAATTCTTATGAAATATATTTTTAGTGCAGAGTATGCTAAATAAACTATAAATCCTTATAATGCAAATTAGAAAATTTTTGATTATATAAGGGATTGTGTTTTTGGCATTTGCTAAAACAAAATTGTTTAATTAGTATACAAAATTAAATTCTAAACAAAACATGTGTGTATATTTTGTAAAATATTAATACAATATTTAATTTTAAAATTATTTACATATTTTAAATTTATTACATAAATAAATAACCCTAACTTGCATTAAATATTTTTCATTACATAGAATAAAAAGAAAAAGAAGACGTACAACTTCTATAACTTTTATAAATAGTAATGACATTATATGACAACAAAGTTTATAATAAAATAATAATTAAGTATTATATAGTGAACAATGATAAGTAAAACTGTTACTTTATCTTGTATCAAGGAATATATATATCACGCTCCGGTGAGAATGATGCTTAATAAAAGAAATAAGAATATATCATAGTCGTCGGATCATTCGATCCGACGACTAAAAAAAATACAAAATTATACTTTCATTAAGGGTATGGCAGTAATTGCACCACACACAAGTGGACCCCACTCTACATTAATAATTAAATCTACCAACTACTCACCTACATATGGTCAATATAGCGGGACCCACACCCCCACACTCTCTCACATGCCCACCTCACCCATCTGTCTCTCTCACACATACAGACACACACATTCACACACAACACACACCTTCCCCCCGCCGATTAATAGTCGCCGGCACCAAACCTTGCACCGCCGTCGTTCCACCGTCGGAATCCACCCGCCTCCGCCACCTGAATCCGACTGCAACCTGCCCCTCCGCCCTTCGCCGTCAACACTGCGACCAGCCCGCCATGGGAGCTGCTTCGTACGACGGCGACCTCCCCCGAGCCTGCGCCCTCCGCCGTCAACACAGCGACTAGCCCACCATGGAAGCTGTTTCGTACAACGGCGACCTCCCTCGACTGTATTGTTGTGGAGCAGCCCCACATCTGTGGCAGCGCCGCCGTCTCTCTCGACTACGACTAGCCCCGTCATGGCGGGTTGCCGCGGGAACCGAAGTGGCCTGCAACTAATAGACACGAAGCTTCCTCGGAGAAGACGAGATGCATCGGGATCCTTGAGAGCCGCTGCTACATCACCGACGACGGGGAGTTGTATCGCCGGCGGTGGCGAGAAGAGTGCAGGCTTGCAGGAGAGAATGGGATTTCAATTTCAATTTAGGGGTTTATTTTGAAAATTTGACAAGTTTGAGGGACTTATTTGCAATTTTAACAATTCTAATATATTACCATTTAAGCCATGGGCCCAATTTGTAATTGATAAAACTATAATTAATCTTATAATATTTTAATTTAATATTCAATATTTATATATTTGTGGCTGAAAATAATAAAAAAAATAATAATGATACAAATGATAATAATAATAATAATAATAATAATAATAATAATAATAATAATTTTTATATAGTTCGTTTGTTAGGGTATTTTGGTTATTTAAATAAAATCAAAGAAAATTTCGAACTTAAATTTTTAGTTTTGACATAATCGGTTTAATTCATCGATTATCATAAATAACCAAAATAACCGACATAAACTTTTTTATTTATTAAAAAAAAAATAATTAGTGTTAATATTTATTTATTTGGTATTTTATATTATTTCTTGTTAAAAAAAATGGTATGTATGTAACTGATATATAATGTATAATCTAACAGACATTAAGGTGCAATTCGTCCAGCACTACGGTGCACGTCGTCGGTTTGTATTGTGCATATTGAACCAACTGAAATTTTATCCGAGCTTAAATAGAAAATGAACATAATTTATTGATTTAGTCGGTCCGATTAACCGAATCATCTTTAATTAATCAAAATAATTTATTATTTATATTAAAATTATATTTAAGATGTTGATAATTTTATTTATTATTTTTATAATATATATGGTTGAAATAATTCGAGTTTGGTCGGTTTCTATATTTTTTTTTATAATATAATAAAGTGCAGAGTGTTATTCTATAAAGTGCAACGAATTATTTTATAAAGTGCAACGTGTTGAACTATACAATAAACGAATTGTTGAAGTTTTGATAAAGTGCAACGTGTTGTTTTATAAAGTGCATCGTGTTGTTTTGTAAAGTGCAGAGTGTTATTCTATAAAGTGTAACGTGTTGAACTATACAATAAACGAATTGTTGTACTTTCGATAAAGTGCAGTGTGGTGTTTTATAAAGTGCATCGTGTTGTTTTATAAAGTGCACTGTGTTGATATATAAAGTGCACTAATTTATATGATCATATATATAATTATCGTGTTTATATATAAAATGCACAATAATATTAAATAACATTAGACGAATTACACATTAATGGTTATCATATTACACAATAGAGAAAATTTTTCGATTTGAACTTTTATCTTTCGATTCGATTATATGCTTTAATTTTAAATCGCATATCTACACAAAACTATTGTGCAATTCACTTATAAAAAAAAATGAGTATTTAATAAAATTTTTTAGTTTCATATAAAGATGACAATTTTTTTTTTTTTTTTTAAAATGCACATCTATACACAATATTATGCATCCCATGTGTCATTATTGTGCATGAAATAATCTTTCATTAAATTATAAATTTGCATCAAGTATTATAATATACTTATAATAAAAGTTCATAAATTACAAGTTGGCCCTTTAACCCTATCTAATTTTCAAAACAAGACCCCAATACCAAAAACACCATCTAGATCCATGGCTTCCCCTCTCAGATCCATTCCCTGCCAACACCGCCAGACCGACGGACTCACCGTCAGGCTGCCCTCACCGCCGCCATCCCGGCCGCCACGATGTGGACCGAGCTCAACCCCAAATCACATAAACCTTAAAACGTCCCCAATCACCCAAGGCGGCGGCGCCGTGTATTCCGGCGACAAGTGTTCGTCTCTGAAATCTGCTTCTGCCTCGTAGGTCCCCTCGCTGGCACCTCCTGAGGGAGAGGATGCGGGAGCGGCACCACCTCAGATGAGCTAGATGCGGCCAACGGCGTCCGGCTCTGAGAATATCGGCGGGAAGATGCCGACGAGACTGGTTGCCGATGCACGACGGAGGTTGGCGGTGGGCGGCGGGCGGCGGTTACACGGCCGTCATCTCCTGCGTCGCGGTTGGCGGCGGGCGGCGGATACACGACCGTCATCTCATGCGTCGCGGTTGGCGGTGGGCGGCGGATACACGGCCCTCATCTCCTGCGTCGCGATTGGCGGCTGGTGGCGGAGTCACGACGGAGGAAGGCAGAGGCTGGAGGCTGTGCGTGTGTGTGTGTGTGTTGCAAAATCGTGAGGAGGAAGATGATGTATTAATGAGAGAGAAAATATATTTTTAAATGGTGAGTGGGTCCCACATAAATATATGTGTATTGATCAACTTACCTTTAATTATTGGTCAAATGTACATATTTGACCCACTATGATTAAATAATTAACAGAATGTCATTAATGATTGACTATTTTTAATTAATTTTGACTTCATCGTGACCATTGAAGTAGTGGATCCAATGATCCAGGTTCATTCTCATTTCTCGCATTAAGAGTCATTCTCATATGATCTCTTACCTATATATATATACTAAAATCAAATTTATATTAATATCAATGTGTTGTGAGATAATATATTAATTATTTTACAAGTTAACCCTAACATACTCATATTTAATGTTCCGGCTAAAAAAACGTTGATTAAAAGAGGTGAAAATAGATTATAACCCTATTTGTTTTAGTCTTAACTCTCTGATTAAAAGAAGTGGAAAATAGATGATAATTGTATTGTTTTTTAGACTTATCAGAACATGTGAAAATAACTCATTAAATATATTTGTCCTGTGCATCGCACGGGGTACGTACTAGTGTTACTTAATAAAATGATAAGGATAAATTGAGAAGAAGTTGAGAATTAACCCAATACTTTGAACCTTAAAAAACACACAAAATAATCATGTAATTCAAACCTTGCATGCATCATATGTCCATCTCTATCTGCCCCAACAAAATCAGAAATTGATCACATTTTAATTCTCATGTATTTATTTACACAAAGGAAACGTGAAATAAATTGCAAAAAAACATAATAGAGAGAAATATACTTCTCTTCATAATATAATCTCGAAAGGTTACTAGATTTTTGTCATAACAGAACATGAAAAGCAGGCGAATGTCAAAAAGAACACGCAAACAAACTAGGTGAAATGAAATCGAAAGATTTGAACAGAGCCATTGTAGTTTTTCTTTCAGCTGACGGTTGTGTTGGCCACCTCAGCCGCTTACTTGGCGCACAACAGTTTACCGGCTTCTGCCAGTGTGTCAGTGGGGCTGACGTGGCAGCCTTTGTTGCGGTGGTGCTTCTCGTCTTCTTGCTCGTGCTATCAGCTGTGGCTCTAAGGACAAAAACTGAACATGAAAAATTATAACCGGTCCATCTGATTCAAATTGAATGGAGTGTTTTTCTTTGTTTTTTCTTCTCTAATGAAGTTGTTGATTTGATTTGGTTTGTGTTGTTTTTGTGGATGGTGATGTTCTTGAATATTTATAGGGAAACATTGAAAGATGAATGTGTATATCGATTTCCTTTTGAAATTCGCAATGCAGTGTCTGCTTTTAAGGACAATCTGTGTCTAACTAACACAAGATTGATTTAAGGACACGCATGTCATTCATCCAATAAAGTGAAATAACAAAACGAAAGTAATTTGCCATTAGTTACTTCAATTCTCAGATATTTTCAGCTATTTCTTCAAACTTGATTGTAGAATTTGTACTTGCAGCACAATCTGAAAAAGTCTCACTTGGAATAAGAGTTTGGTTTGATTAGGTACATGAAGAAAATCTGGTAAAACCCCAAGTTTTTGTTCAATGTTTTTTTAGGAACTTGCTATTTTTGCTAACTTGATTGTCAGAGGAATAACGACAACTAAATTTAAATAATGCAATTACTCTATAGATATCGAAGGTAGAAGCTTTCATTACACACTAAGTGGATTTGGGTTCAACATGGACGATTTTTCTATGTAACGGGTGCAATTTTATCAGCATTTGATGCTAGTTACAGTTTAACTAGTCTTGTCCATTCTTTTCTCCTTCATTTTTTTTTTTTTTCTGTAAATTTTAGCGACAATGTTGACGAACTTCAAGAAAATTTTGACGACAATGTCCGGCAAATTCTAGTATCCTATGATAAAATTGAAGATACCGTTGTAAACAATTGTGACCAAAACTAATTGAGTTGGAATATCAGTTTTGAAGTAAAACTGGTGTTTTTCCCTTTTTGAAAAAATATCAGATTCTCCAAAATATTAAATATTCTGAAATTACCGAATGACACCACATTCACCCAGATTCACAGAAATACTCACACAAGCCCACAATTGAAGGCCATGAATCCCAAAAACAGGTCCTTCCTTCGCTTTCACCATCTTCACCAATCAGCCAAACTCACTTAATGTCCAAATTTGCCACCTTCATCCATGTATTCTCCAGGTATTCTTATTTTTTCCCCAAGAATTCATTTTAATACTGCTGTAAAAATATGTGTGCTTGATTGATAACTCGACAAACATTTAACTGTCTCTTGGGGCGAAAAGGATATGTATTATTCCTTTTCTAAGACACTTGATTTTGATGCGTTGAATTGTGTTGACAACATGAAAAAAATTGGTGTCCGAAATGATAGGAAATTTTCCCAGGTGACATACAAGCTTACAAGGTGATCGACCAATTTACTGAAAAGNAGATGATAGCTGGTTTTTTTATTCACTTTAATTAGAACTTTTTGTAATTACAAAGTATATAGTAGCATAAATTAGCTTTGAAAGACCAAAAAGAAGTGGAATACTTTATGCTACTTATGCTATCAAATATGATACTTTTGTATAAATTATTCTTTAGAGTATGAATGACATTTTAGTTTAAAGCAATGCATAAATGAGAAAGTATGAATGTCTAACCGTTAGGTCTGCCTTACCTATACTCTGAATTAGTAGTCACTCATGTTTCTCAAAAGAATAGTGTGAGCTATGTTGAACTCATCAAACATTACACATTGGTTTATCTTCTAGTTCAATATAAGCTTCACAATGTTTTAACAAATTTAGTTTACACTAATGGGTTCTGCTCGTCAATCAGTTAGAACGGAACACTTTCTTATATACATTGTCACTCGTATACTTTCAATATGCACACCTTTACCTCTAAAGATCTCATTTTTATCTTCAACACAAAGCACCTCGGCCCAAAAAAAATTCAAACAATCAAAAACCCGTATCTATCACCTTCACTTTACCCTTGTTCTAAAAACCCGTTCGCAATAGCTCAGCATAGATCAAATCGTTCCAAGTGTCGGGCACTCCGGGCAGGCACCAGTGGCTGCAATCCTGTGGGGCATCGGGTGGAGTGCCCGGTTCACGGTTACTCGATGGGTGCCCATCTTTTCTGAACTCTGTTAGGTAAGTTATGTTCGTGAAGTGGGTTGTTGAGATTGTGTTTTTCAGTTTTCGAGCAATTTCACGGATGATCATGTTGTTGGGGGGGTCGGGATCGAGTTTTGATCTGTTGGTCTCGGGTTGCGTGCTCGTGTTGCAGTACCCGCCTTTGTCCCATGCTCCTTCCCTGCAAATTTCGCACCTCCTTGTCAGTATATTTATGGTGTAATTACGTAGCTACCCCTACCCCCGAGCTTTCGGGTATTTGCAAAAGTTACCTTTATTTTTATTTTATTTTATTTTTTTTTAAATTGTTTGTTACATGAATGTGCATAGAGATATAGACAGTTTTGCTCATAACTATATATGCAGAGTGAATATTAAAAAAATTGGTTTCTTTTGTTCATTTGTGCTTCGAGATCGAGCCATGCGGTAAACCTTTGAGTATCCTATATCTTTCGGATTTCGCCAAATGTAATATTTGAACACTTTTTTTGCCTCTTTTTCTTTTTCAGATGATCAAGGTAGAATCGGGTGTGAAGAGTTAATATGACCTTATTACCTGTAATATACCGGTGAGTAGCTTCTAAAGAACACTTGTGTTTTTCCCGGCTTCAAACTCTGCATTGCCCATACTCTCAACGTGTTCATCGATCTTTTAAAAGCTTCCATTACATCCATCGACATGTTCACGTGTTCCCCTTCCTGAAAATAATAANAAAACCGTTAACCATACATATCTATTTTCAAAACAAAGCAAATTACACGAACATGCTCTTTTTCTTCTTTTATTTATGTTTGTGTTTCGAATTTGCTTATTAGGCTATATTTGGTAACCAAATAAGTTAGCTTATAGGTTATTTGGTTAGCTTATAAGCATCTTGTATTCAAATAAGTTTCGTTTGGTGGGACGAGCATTTTAAAAAATCTCGAGTTTATTTCATAAGCTTCTTTGGATAGCTTTTCAAATAGGCTCGTTGAAATTTTTATTTCAGTTAGTTTGTCAGCTAATTTTACCAAACACTTTTATCATATAAGTTAGTTTTTCAGCCACAAGTCATATAAGCTATCAACTATAAGTTCAAAATTAACTTAAAAGCTATGAGCTAGCTTATCAGCTATCAGCTAGGTTTACCAAACATAGTCTCACTCTCTTCGGACCGTTTATAAATGCATTTTACGTACGATTTTATCGTCTTGTCTTGATTCCACCAATGGCCTGCGCTGAACACCAAAACATTAGCTCCGACCCAATTGGCCGAGTACCAATGCAGCCTGTCGACTCTAATGGCTCCATACACCTCTTTGGACACGTTTTTCGGAGGTCGATCGATTGTCACGAGATAAGGCACTCTGTAGTATTGTACCGTGAGATTGTAATCTCGGAATTTGATCGAGAGGAAGCCTTTGTGCTTGGTAATCGGGTTCCCGTACTCTTCGTATATTGAGGTCCAGTTAGCGACCCCTTGTGCCAACATGCAAGTTAAGGACTCCCATTGGTTTCGGCCAATCGAGTCGCCTGCAAAAACGATTCGCCAGTTTCGGGCGCGGTCGAGAAAGTCTTTCGCATTGAATCTGCAGGAAAAATGATGAAGAAATAATTAAAAAATAAAATAAAAGAACCAGATGGTAATTCTTTTTCTTTTATTCTTTGATTAAGCAAAACAATGCATGAATACATTGGTATATGGCATATTGTACAATGAAATATGACCAGAACAAA